AAACTCAGGATCCGTTTGGCAAGCGCATATCTAGCAAAATGAATTAGCAAAGGAATATCTCAAAGCTTTGCTAAGAGTCAAGTGAGATGGGTTTAAGGGCCAGTAGCAACAGGATCGTAACAGAAGAATTTGAGAAGAAATAAAAATAAAAGTGATTCCTGTTACCATTACACTAATACAAAATTCTACAGGATGGGTGTGTTTATTCCATCTTTAAGGGAGGGAGGCAAATTAATTTTTCCCAGTTCACAGAGGACTCAACATGGACCAGACTTCAGAGTCTTGACTTTCTTCTCTATATCACACTATCACTCTTGCATTGCCTTTCTAGCCTTGTTTATTTATTTAATGAATTTAATTATTTTTTTTCTTGGCAGGGAAAAATTCGCCCTGAGCTAACATCTGTTGCCAATCTTCTTCTTCTTTGTCCCCTCCTCAAAGCCCCAGTGCATGGTTGTATATCCAGTTGTAAGTCCTTCTAGTTCTTCTGAGTGAACTGCCACCACAGCACGGCAACTGACAGACTGGTGGTGTGGTTCTGCAACCAGGAAATGAACCCAGGTCACAGAAGCAGTGAGAGCGCTGAACTTTAACCACTAGGCCATCAGGCCTGGCTCTATTTAACGAACTAAAAATTTTTTCGTTTCCTTTCCAGTGGTTTAACAATCCAATCTAGAGGCAGCATTTGGAGGGAAGTTCATTCTATTGTATCCATATTTCTCTTTTCTCAAAACAGATCTTAAAGCTTTCTGTTTCTTGTCTCATTTGACAGGTCTTTGAAAATCTGTCTATAAAATGCATTCATCGTTTACTGATCACCTACAACCTGCAAAAGAGTGTGTGGGATGCTAGAAATTCAATGGTAATTGCCACAGCCCCTTGCTCTAAGGGAGCATGTAGTCTTATAAGAGATACAGACAAGTAAATGAGATTATAATGTGAGCCCAAGAGGGCACATTGGTAGTATGAGAATATGCAAAAGCGGTACCAAACATGGACATGGGTTCAGGGTGGTCTGTAAGTACTTCCCAGAGGATGCAGCATGTGAGATAAGATCTAAAAGATAAGGGTGGCTGAGGGGAGTCAGGTCTGCATGCAGAGTGCTCCGAGAAAAAGTGTCTGTGGAGGCCTGGCTGAAAAGAGGCATTTGCCCTGCTCTTAATTTCCTGAAAGTCATTCAGCATGACTCAGCAGTAGTGTGTGTGTGTGTGTGCACGCACGCGCGCATGTGCACGTGCGTGCAGGTGTATCAGTGCTGTAGTAAAAATTGGTTTGGAGAAGAATGTAGAGGCTAAATTATTCAGGGTCTTGACTAGTAATAACAACAACCAGCACTTAACACCTATTCTGTGCCAGGCACTGTTGCAAGTAATTTTATACCACATATTTTTTCCTCATAACAAACCTAAGGAAAAGGTACACCATCATGATCTCCATTTTGTTTACAAGGAAAATGAGACATATAGAGGCTAAGTGACTTCTCTAAGTTTACAGACCTAGTGAGTGACGCAGCTGAGACTTGAGCTCCAGCTAGTCTGGCACGAAAAGTATGGCCATGAACTGATAGTATCAGAATCACCTGGGAGCTTGTTAGAAATGCGAAAAGTCAGGCACCAACCCAGACCTACAGAACCAGAATCTGCATTTTAACAAAGACCCAGAGGTGGTTCCTGAGCCCCTTAAAGTTTGAGGAGATCTGCTGTGATCCACTACACTCTATTGCCTCTCTTTAACCTTGAGAAGGAATCTGGACATGATCTTCAGGCCAGTGGAAGTCAGGGAAAGGTCTGAAGTGAGAGACTGGCAAAATCAAATTGTTTTTAGACCAGTTGTTTTAGGTCAACCCCTCTGGCTTCACTATGGAAAATGCAGTTGAAGATGGCAACTCTGGAGTCAGGGAGATGAATGAAAGGACTGCTGTCGACCACATAAAAAATGATGGCAGCTTGAAATAGAGTTGTGGCAGTGAGAAAGGAGAGAAGTAGGTGAATGTATGAGGTAGCACTGATAGAACTTAGAGATTCTTTGGGTAGGAAGGTGGGGAGTAGGGAGAGGGAAATGATGAATTTACTTTTAGATTGAAATGAGATTCGAGAGGACTGTCTGACAGTCAAATAGATCTGTTCAGCTGGGGCCAAAGACGTGGGGCAGGGAAACCATATAAATTACTTGCGCATGTTGGAAGGGGTCCTAGGGCCAATTCTATATCAAAATTTTCACCTAGTTTGCCTCTGACACCCCTCCCCACTCCTGCGTTGTATTTGCTGTGGTCCAAGCTGGCTCTAGGCAGTCCTGTATTCAGCAGACAATTGCACACATCTGTCTGTAGCTCAGAAAAGACATCTTAGCTAGAGAGACAGATTTTGGATTTGTAAGCACATAGAATAGATGATAATTGAAGCAGTGAAATTGCCTACAGAGAGAGCAGGAGTCTAAGATATGGGGTAGGGGAAGAGGAATCTGCAAAGCACACTGAGAACAGTGGTCTCAGAGGTGGGAGGAAAACCAGGAGTTTGCTCTCATGGAAGCCCTGGGTGAGAGTGTTTCAAGATGGGGAAAATGGAGAATAGGATAAAATGCTTTTGAGACTCCAAGTAGATAGAGAATGAGAAATGTTCTGCTGGATTTAGCACTGTGCTGTGATTGATACCCTCAGTAAGCGCTGGGGAAAACTGATGAGGACTAAAGCCAGACTGCGATAGATTGAGAAGTGGGAGCTAAGGAGGGAGAGATTCTTAATAGAGTGTAGATAGTTCTTTCAAGAGATTGATCTATGAAGCTGAGGAATGAGGGTAACTGGAGGAGCTCAGTAATAAAGGAAAAACTTTTTAAGATGGAAAACTTGAGCGTGTTTAAATGCTCATGCAAGGAGCTAATAAAGGAGGAAAAATTAAAGACTGTCATCCCTGAAGTGGAGGGTATGAGATAGTGGGTACTAGTTTAGATTTTGCCTTTTATGTTCCAATCTACCAATAGGTCGGGATGGGGATTTGGGAGGAGGGCTAGAGAAACAGGAAGACCCCACTGCAGTCATCTGTTCCACATTCTGGGGTCTTTGGAGGCTTAATCTTATCACCGTTCCGGTCTAAGCCTTGCTTTCCACAAAAGGAGCTGTTCTGCTACTTGAATCTTCTACTTTTATTTCCATGACACACTGCCACGAATTAACTAAGCACCTGCTTTGAAAATTAACCCTTAAACTTCATCTTCAGCTAAAGTCCTGGCCTTAGTCTTCTCTCTCCTCAGGTGAGGCAGTTTAGAGACAGTTCAGGCAAACTTCCACCCTAAGCCCTTTAAAGCTTTGGTAAACTCACTGGCCCCAGGGTATGTCTGAAGCTGAGGTCTACAGCTTCATGGAGAACAGCAGTTCATAATCAGGACCCCAGAGAAGACTCAAGGACAGACTTTGGGAGTCCATCGACCCCAGAAATGCCATTGGAATATCTATGTGCAATCTGAGAAGAAGGTCCACTGATTCCATCAGATTCTTAAGGGGCTCTGTGATCCCAAAGTAGTCTGATGTGGAGATAAACGTTCACACTGATCATTTTGGAGTGATTCGAGGTGTCACGGCAGGAAAGAGTCCTCCTCCTTCCCCTCCTCCTCTCCACAGCTCCTTACAGGGTACCAAAAGGTAACCAAGAAAAATGATGACAACCAGAAGGAAAAAAGACAACTACAGGAACACGGAAACACAAGTTTGTTGAATTCACATCTGACTCAGAACTTCCTATGTGAACCCAAGTATTTTGTTTTCAATTCTAAGGAGATCATGTTTCCTTGACTGAAAACACAAAAAATAAATCAAAGCTTCTCCAATGTGTTTTAGACAAACATTTATTTCCAATATTATAGTAGAAAGCTACTAGGCTTGCCTGAGGAACGCAAATTAATCTAGCTTTACTCAAAATGTTGATGGCAAATATAACAAAAATAAGAGGTAAACTGGTCAGTGAGGTGATGTTACATTAGAACACAAATCTGCTGCTCTTGCTTAGGAAGAATGGTCCCAGAATTGGCAACTAATGATAATATGTGGGAATAAATAGAACAAGAGTAGAAAAAAGACATCAGAGTTTACCCTCCCCATTAAGCAGTTTGGATTATGGCTTTAGGCATATATCATAACAAATATGTTAAGAAATATCTTGTATGGTACATATGTTTGCAATATTTGTGTTAATTTTTAATCCATATGTTTTGCTAATAAAAATGCTAGAATTTATACATGACAGTATTGTAGATGTGAAATGACGGCTAAAATGATGAGGATTTTCTTAGATTTTATTTATAAGAATTACAGATTTTATTAATGATTCTTTTTAGTTACCACATTTCTGAAACTCAAATTGACAGCTGAGGAGTCGCATTTGGATTTCAAATGGATGACAGACACCAAGGAAGGTCTGACTAAAATAGTGAGAGAGGAAGCATAAACACATATGGCATGCACGCTTTTGCTTGAGTAACGCTCTCAGTTTCAAGAGGCAATGCTTTAGATTCACGTAGCATATTATACACTCACTAACTCACTTAAAATCTGTAAATGACTTGAAATTGTGCTCTGGATATATAAATCCATTCATATAATACCCTCAGGGATAACGTTAGTCATTCAAATAAATTAAACCAAAAAAAATCCCAGAATCCTGTCACCATTTTTTATGACAATGAGGCTATGTCCCACGTATAAAGACCATTTTCAGTACTCAGGCGGCAGCTCCAAAGAGTTACGTGGCCACTATATTGCCTCCACATGCATATCATCGAAATAAGATATCTGAAAAGTTCAGTGTATAAAACAATAACTGTTGGCTCAAATGGTTTTTGAAAAGCTTCTAAGAAACTTCAAGATACATACCTATTTGCCAGGTACAAGTTTTCTCTTAAGAAGTCACTAGTAAGCTTATAAGAATCTCTTTTACTTAAAAAAAAAAAAAACAAAGAAGCAAAAATACCACATAAAAAAACACAAAGGAAACAAGGAAAACAAAACTTACTTTTTCTTAAAGCTGCTTCTTCCTGTGATTTAAACAGTGTGAAAAGAGACTATATGATTTTTTCCCTCCAACACAATTGTAAGTCAACTCCAGAAGGAACAGAATGGGCCACCAGAGCGTCCCTCTCAATTGCAGCTTTTTCAGCTTTGTGGAAGAAAATAGCAGGGTGAGTGTATTTCCTCCGAGTCTTATGACATGCACATAGCTGACTCCTACTGGACTGAAAAGCACTCTTTGTCAATTTTTCCTTAAAATTACAAGTAACGAATTCTCTGAAGGACATCCTTAAAGGGAAATCCTGCTAGGATTAGTATTTGAAATATCTGGATAAGCTCCAAAAAGTTTAAAATACAAAGTGCACATACAGACTCTCTCATACTTGAGAAATTTCCACTGCCTAGGCTAACTTATTAAGGGCATATTTAAAAAATTTTAAAAAATCACTAAAAGGATGATGTATTTTCTGTTTCCTTGATTAAGCTGTTTTTGTTTTCTTGGTTTTCTGGTGACTGTCAGAACCCTTTTTTAGGTGAGGTTGAACTACAGAGCTTTTCTGTTGACCTATCTGTAAAGAGATGAGGCCGCATGTGCTCACCTGTAGAGCTTTTGGCAGCTTGAGCGAGGAGCCCTGGGTTGTAGCCTCTATCACTGCCTTCTTGGGGAATGTGAGTCTTGGATTTGTCTAGAATAAATCAAGGTAGTTACCTGCTTCCTGCACCTGCTGTGTGGACTGAGCATTTCCTGCTTCTTCCTATGTCCCTATGAGCTGGCAACAATTATTACGTCACATCCACGGCTATGTGACTTCATTTAAGCACAGACTCATCTGCTCCCTTGAAATCTTCAATTTAAAACATGAAAAGTGGCTAGAGATTTCAAAAGTTGGAGCTAAAGAAATGTTTGAATATTGAACTAATCCACAACAGGAATTCTCAGTGGGTCAAGATGATCCACAAAGCAAGTGACACTTGCTCCTAGAATCTCCATTTTAGGCCATTTCTTTGGTTTGTAAGGTGAGGTGACAAGAAACGTTCTGCCTCCAATTATGCCCAGACCAAACTTAAACTGTCCTTGTTCTAAGTGCTAAAGGAATGATATATTAATATTTTCTGAGGTCAAACTCAAGTGTGTACAACCAAAAAACTTGAGCTAGGGAAATGCAAAGTCAATCAACTCCATGCTTCTGTTATTCACCTGACTTTGATGCTTAAGATATTATGAAAATGAAAACACGGTGATTAGAACAACAAATTGATTCAGTGAAAGGACATAAGCACATTTAGTTAGTAACAGATTTTAATCCTCATGACACCACTGCTAGACGGGCATTATTTTCCTCCTTTTATCCATGAGGAAGCGGAGTCTTGGAGATATAAAGTTGTCTATGTCCCTGTGTAGTTATGGGACGCCACTCTTCGTTTACAAAACCTGTGCTTCCTGAGAGGGTAATCGACATTCACTGATTCAACTTCTGATCTTCCTGTGCCCTCCTCAAACTTGCAATCTGCCTTCCACTTGAAGCACTCCACCAAAAACCCTTCACTAAGCTCATACAAGATCTTAAATAGTAACCCAAAGAGCACTGTCTTTAATCTTACCTGAAATTTCTCATCTTTGGCCATGTCTATTTCCTTTTGAAATTCTCTTCCCTTGGTTTCTCTAAGTTACACTCTCTCTAATTTCCTCCTTGCTCTTAGCATCCTCACCCTTTCCTGGAGCTTCCTCCTCATTTCAGAGTACTTCTCTGTACACCATCCATGGGATTCCTTATAAAAACAATTAACAATTATATATCATGGCTCCCAAACCTGTGTTCTCAACTGTTATCACTGTTTCCAGACCTGTATCCTGTAGTCTACCGACCCTGCTTGTTTAGAGGTCCCCAGGCATCTCAAACCCAACAGTCCCAAAAAAACCTCTTCGACTTCTCTCTCCAAACCTGTTAGTCAGCTGTATTTCCTGTTCAGGGCACAATCATTCAACCCGTCATCTTAGAGTACTCCCTTGCCGCACTTATTCTCTACCCTCCCTATCATGCATCCACATCTCCAACTTCTGTTGGTTCTGCTTTGTTAAATCTCTCTTAAATCTGTCATCATCCCTGCATTCTGGTCCCCACATTTCTCATTTGGATTACTCTATCAGTCATAAAACAACTGGCATCTACCTCAGTCTGGTCCCCTTCTATCATTTCTCTACATCATTGTAAAACAATATTTATTTAAAAATATCAGTTTATTGAATTATAAAATACATGCTTCTTGCAGAAAATCTGGAATAACAATTGAAAAAATAAAGAAAACTTAAAATGACTTGCAATCCAAGAGACAGCCACAGCCCAAATCTTCACCCAAATCTCTTTAGAATATTATGTATGCATGCATATAACTACAGGGGGAAATGTTTATGCGAATGTTCTTATGCAAATGTTTCTATAGTTATAGCTATATAATAAACAAGTTTAAACAAATGTATTTAAACAAATATAGTTATATAAACAAGACCACATTGTACATAGTTCTGTATCTCTTTTACTTAATATACTGTGACTTTCCAAATCAATTAAATATTTTTCAAGCAGCTGTGAATAGTTGCAATATATTATGAAACACTGCTCCCAATTTTTCTCTCTCTGATTTTTCTTCTTCAAAACAAAAAACTACCCTGAGCATTTATAATGTATGAATCACAAGGACTCAAATTTAGGTGGGAAAGAGGAACGGAGAAAAGCAGAGAACACTTATTTTAAAAGTTCATTTATGTTTATTAGATATTTTTAAACAACTATATATTCTATACTAACCTTGTTGTCGTGCCTTCAAGCAATTATCCAACCTGTTAAGTCTTTATAACAGATTTAAGTTAAACGTTACATTTTAGGTGACTAAAGGCAAGCTCAGTAGAAAAAACAATTTGATAAAATACTCTTTCTTCTTTACATGGACTAACAAGAAACAAAAGAAAATCTTTGCGACCTTTGTCTTAGCTTGACTAGCCAGATAAAGAGTTTTTCTTTGGAGGACTAGCAACTGAATAAACAAAAATATTTCAGAGTCTAGAAAATTGCTTCCTTTCTGTGCAAGATGCATTGTACATGTTCTTTTACTTCTGGTAAACTCCTTCCCCAGTCCATTATTCTTATTTCTCATACTTCAGGGTTTCCCACAAGCCTCATTATTTCATGTTAATTCATGTCTTGGTACTTCTGAATCTCCTTTTCTCTGCCCAGAAACAGCCAATTCCCCTTCCCCTATTTTCACCAGGCCAGTCCTCTTTCTTTCAGCATTCAGTACAGGTCATCTTCAGCCTGTTCAATTCCCCTCCTGGCTAAGACAGTTTGCCTTTCACTTCTTCTCCCATAGCATCCTCTGCTTACTTCTCTCAAAACACTATACTGAACTATAATTGTTGATTCTTGCCATCTCCTTAAAAGCAAGATAGACATTTGTATTCCTAGTAGTTAACTGTCATATGGGATTCAGGACATTGTTGAGCCAAGGATTTACATTCCCCATGTCCTCCCTTTCAGTGTTCACATCACAACATAATCCCTTCCTCCCTGCTCTTCACACACACATCCAGGGGAGGGCTTACTACTAATCACTGGAGAGGGACAGAGGTGCAGTTAGAGGCAAGGCTGGTAAAGCAAATAATAAAACACAACACGGGGAACTTACGAAAATTTAATACATCTTTAAAGTAGTTAGGTATTCCCTTTTTTGTGATGTAAATGGAATAAACACTGTGTTTCTGAAAGCCTAAAGTTCAGTGTCTTTCTTAGACAGTTTAGAAGAAGTCTCTCCTGGATTCTGTTTATTCTTTTGTTTGTTTAGTGTGGCCTTCAAGGTAGAGCAACTTGTGTAAAAAAGCCATTTAAAAAGCCACTTTAATAGTGCTCCCAGATATCTGTAGAAAATGTACATCCCAGGTGAGTCTATATATCTGTTTTTATCTCATTTCCCATACACGCTGGGGTAAAGGCTTCGGTGGTATTAGTCAAAGAAAGCAAACCTTCCAACATCCCCACCCTCTACCCAAGTCATATAAGTTAGTTCTTGATAGAAAAAATCCCATTTGCCCTGGTCGAGCGGCCTTTCTGAGGAAGCAATGAACTGTTTCCTCTCAATCTACAGGCCACACTATACGTCAGATCACTGTTGCACTTTGACCTCATCCTTGGTGCTGTATGGTCTGACTAAAGTAAGTTCTCTAAAAAGTTCAAGATGGTTCTACATTCAGGTTAAGCAACTTCTACGTTTATTGTTCTAATTTGGCATTAAAGTCTTTTCTGAAAATACACTGTGATTTTGAAAGATATATTTCTCTTCCCTGATCTTTCTGATGGCCAGAAGTAGGCGGGTTTCCCTTGACTCTTCAAAAACACATGGTCTGGAGATGGAACACATAAATACCTGAGCGCGTTATTCAAGTATCCATCCCTACTGTATCTGCACTAGCAGGAAGCAGCACATCAGAGAGCACAGCTGCACATTTGCTGAAATCTAGCTAATTGAAGATGACTTCCCAAGGTGAAATGGTTCATGAACGGCAACCTTTCAAGGAGTGAAAAGACACTGAGGACTACGGAACTATTTTTGTGTAAGAAAAATATAATAAAACCCTTTAAAACTGTTCAGAACAAGAATTACAAAGTATAAGTATAGTACCTATAATGTATACATCAATTAATCCTAGCAGTAGTAATTAAAATAATGGAAGCCTCAAAGTACCATGAAATTTAATAGAAACAACAGGCAACTTTATTTTAAGTTAAAATAAATCTTAAATCTGCCCATTATCAGAGTAGATAAACATGTAACAATTATTTTATTAACGAAATCAGATTTTTACATACAAAAATCAGCTATATAATTTTATTTACAAAAATAATAAAAACTGTTCTTATTTACTGTGGAAAAATAAGAACTATTTTGATAAATGAAAAAAATTTAATGCAAACAAAATAAAACAGAATGGTTTTCTTTTTATTTGCTTCATCACCTCTTCTGTTTTTATCTTCACAAATTAAAAAAGTCAGAATGATTTTATTTGCTTCATTCTATAATCTAGTTTGACACAAACGTGGATTACTTTGGTATCTGCTGAATCATAAATAATATGGTTTCAAAACAAAGATTGAATAAAAAAATTAGGCTGGGTATTCAATATTTTGAAGCTGAATAAACAAACATAACTAATTGGAGTGTGGGGTCACACAGGATTTGTCATTTTAATTTCTTTGCCTATATGAAAATACGTTAATAGAAAATTACCAATGGGAAAACATTTTTAGATTTATGTTACATTCCTACCAACTTTAATAATGCTTAGTCAGCAATTATATTAATTTCTTTCAGTATTAATATTTTGTCCAGAAATATAGTAGAGGTAGACTGATCTTTGTTAGGCAAACATTTTGAAACAGAGTTTTAAATGCCATAAAAGGAATTACATAAAATAGTATTTTTTTAATATTTGAGATTTAATTTACTATTATATTCAAAATCACTAAATTCCTTTTTTGATATATAAAATTGTTGCTTAAAACATCTGTTTGAAATGATTACTCCAAGGAACTATTTTAGTTACTTTTAACTACTAATAATCTTTAGAAAACAAGAATACTTTTTTATACAAGTTTCCATTTTTGGGAAAAAAAAAAAAAGGTTCCAATGATTTAAATGCATTTATAGACAGATGCCCCTACAAGAAAGTATTGGTGCCAGAGTGACTCCTGGTATAAAAAATGAAATTAAGAACTGCAAACTGGGTTAAAGAAAAACATAAGTATTAAATTTTTAGTTATTCCAATGTTCAAATGTGACTTACAACTATTAGCAGCAAATTTCACTTTTTCTCTCACTCCTGTTAGCATCCTGTTTTAGAAGAGAGCACAGCAATGCATGAGCCCCTCTCACGTTCTTCTGCACCTGTTAAGGCATCTCTGAAGCGCCTAACCACATAAAAATTCACTTCTGTGGGGGAGATGGGAGACCCTCTATCTGCCAGAAATAAGAGCAAAAGCTTAGTAATAAAGAAAATATTGTGAAAATTTCTGTATCTCAGGTTTCAAGCATTTTCTATTAATTTTAAAATAAAATATATAATTTTCATTTTTGACACCAAGGGTTTTTCTTTTTTTAAAAACATGACCACATTTTAAGACTCTGCCTAATGTGTATAAATATAATAATGTCACTGGAAATCTAATAACAATGAATGAGTCCTTTCCTAGAGATGAAAGATATCAGAAAATTTATTCTTCATTTAGCATTTGCAGAAAATAAACTGAAATGCATAATTTTTGGAATTATAATGTGAAAAAAAAATCTTCCACAGAGAACCCAATTTAGAAAAATTCACAAGTTTATGAGATTTACATTGAATACAACACAACTGTTTTAACTGAATTGTGTGGGTGGGAGGGGCTGTTAATAGGGATTGAGGATTGTGAAGTGAATATTTTTTTGTAACAATTCACCTTTAACTTTGGGGGAAAAAGTTTACCATATGATATAAGTAAATTAAGATCATTACTCTTCTGTCACAGATGATTTTCTGGACTTGAGAACAAGGTCTTTAATGGATGAAGAAAGTTCTTGAAGCTCTTTCCGGGTGGTATTGGTGACATCTTCTTGTTCTTTGTCTAACTCATCACTCAAGGGATCATCTCCCTGCCCAGTCTTCTTATTTTGGCTTACTAACTGCTTTACAACCAAACCTTGATACTTTACCAAAAGAGTATGCTGATCCTGTGAAAACAGAAAGGAGAAGAAAAGTTAACATTTAATTTTCTGTGGAATAGACAAAGTAGGATTTGTTTGACCAATACACACTGAAGGTCTTCATCTTTACAAATCACTGGCCGTATAAGTAGAAAGCTGAATCTAGCAAGGTCCTTGCTCTCAAGGAGTACAGTTTAGGGGAGATAAAAAATGAACACAGATCATTTTAATCTAAGTTGACTTAGCTAGGTTCTAAGCTAGGTTGACTTAGCTAGGTTCAAAGAGACAGTCAAAGTGATATGTAAGTTGAAAGAAGCCAAATTACTTTTAGCTGAGGAGTTTCTCAGAAGAATTTGTGCAGGATAAGACTTTCTGAGCTGGTCCTTGAAAGACAGGCTAAACCTGCATAAGCTGAAATGAAAGACTGAACATTAGTCTATCTTTTCCAAAAGGCTAATTTCCAAATTCACAATATTCTTACCATGGATCTTGAAGGATCCTGAAAGCTTCTTAAGCTATGCTGAGTTTTTATTTATTTTTTATTTTTATTTATTTATTTATTTTTTGAGGAAGATTAGACCCGAGCTGACTACTGCCAATCCTCCTCTTTTTGCTGAAGAAGACTGGCCCTGAGCTAACATCCGTGCCCATCTTCCTCTACTTTATACTTGGGACGCCTACCACAGCATGGTTTGCCAAGCAGTGCCATGTCCGCACCCGGGATCCGAAGCAGCCAACCCCGGGCCGCCAAGAAGCAGAACGTGTGAACTTAAGTGCTGTGACACCGGGCTGGCCCCCTATGCTGAGTTTTTAAAATCAATCTCCTAATTCATTGTTCACATTCTTGGAAGGAAGAAGATGCTGTAAATATGTTTTGTGTCTTAGTGTTCTCAAGGATTCATATCTATCCATTCAAAATATTCAGAATCTAAAAGCTTTAAAAGTTTCAAGTGCACTGAAAATGTAATACCTCTGGAATTTTCCCACTAAGAAAAGCAATGATCTGTGGGACACATCTTCCAGGTGCATGGAGCATGCTGTGGGTTGAGAACTGAAACAACAGGACTGATGTGAGGTGCAGAATGAGAGCAGGGTCTTCTGTGACTTTTAGCTGTTCAGCCAGTGCTTGCCGATGCTGGAACAGTATCTGCCTAAACAAAAATAAAATCACACAAATACATGATCATATTTTAACAAGTTCTCACCAATTTCAGTTTTTCCCTTCTGCATTCGTTTTTAGCTTCTCTAGTTTAATTATCTAGTTCCATAAACATTTTAAGGGACCTTTTAAATACGGAATACAGACACACATAACCCTAAATGGTATGGATAAACTAACATGCTAGAAAATGACAGAAAAAGCCATATAGCAGAGATACTCACAGTAGGCTTTTTATTTTGAGTTGTTGGGGATCAAACAGAAGTGCATCAATTTAAACAAGATTTCCTGTAAAGAAGGTCTCAAAGCTAATAAGTTCCCAGGCTTGATCAGCTGTGAGATTAAAGAACTCTGCTGCCTTATCAGGATGGGCCAGGAAGGGACACCTAAGTATACGAAGACTGAACATAATTGAAGGTCTGAAGCCACTTAGATACCAGTTCTCTACGTGAGATTCAGTCAGATACCAACTTCAGATATGAACTACCACATACCTAAGAATTTATTAATAATACAGATTAATTCAATGTTACCTTTCCCTTTTTTTGTCTCCCTTTTTCACCATAATATCACAAGCTTCTGCTGCAGAATCCAGACAAGAAAGAAAGTCTTCTATGCTCTGAAAAAGTATTTAATACCATGATTTACTTTTATAAACAGGCTGCCTAGAGAAATACAGCCATTTAATACTGTTTTACAATTTTACACCCTAAATAGAATTTTCAAAAAGCTCATTTTGTCGTTAAATTTGAAATGGTGACCTAGGCCTAAAGAGTTCAGGTGAAATGCCCCAGCCTGGTCTCCCCTTCAGCTCCTGAGGATGAATCTGACTGCAGAATACTAGTTTTATATTTAGCTTACAATTATTCTGATAAAAATCTACTCAAATATCACAAATTCTAGCCTCAATATCTAAACGAAATTGAATTAAACCTTCCTTACCTTCTCATTCAGAGCGCTGTGGAGCTTAGAGAGAGCTACTTTATTTTCTTCTGGTAATTTAGTTAATATTTTTTTTCTTACCTATAGGAGGAAAAACATTCTTTTGGGATTGTGTCTTTGACAAGTGGTCTATATAAGATCAAACAAAACAAAAAAGTTTATTTATTACTATAATAGAATGCTGAATAGAATTTATCTTTGTTCTTGAATTTTAGGTCTCAAACTAGGGATAAAAATATGCTAAAAACATTCTCAAATTAGAGAGCTAGCCAACAGCCAGTCAGCCAGAGGCTAGATGCAGCCTTACTCCTCATCTGCTCCAGCAGGATAAGAGGAAGATGACAGAGGGAGAGACACAGACAGCATGCGTGCACAAGAAAGCAAGTGACTGCACCATTCATCTTATGGGAAAAAGAGAATTTGGGATAAGAGGCTACCCCTTCTCTTTTCTGTTGGGGTGGGAAGAGTGTTTTTTCCCTCTCTAATGCCAGGTGACAGGTGGCTCCACTCATAAAGATCAAGGATGCCTATAAGCTAGTGTTCTTGTTCCATGGATGCATGCTTGTGATAATGTATTGTGTGTGGAACCTTTTCAGCACACCCCTCTCCACATGATGTATCTTGTGATACTTGGTGGCATTCCTGACCAGAGTCTGATGGCTCCTTCTAGTGCAAAATTTCTGGAGGAGGCCTACTGGAATGGCTTGGCTGGTAGCCCCTGAAGGCTACAGTGTGTCTTGGGAGACTGGGGCAACCTAATGACTCTCTGCCCTATGCCATCCAATCTTGCTGCAGCCCTTGAAGGGCATGGGCCAGGACTGACGTATTTCCTCCAGCAGAGGCCGGCACAGGGGCAGGATACATGAGACTG